AAACAAACAAACAAAAAAAACAAAACAAACAAAAAAAACCCAAAACAAAACAAAAAAAAACAAAAACAAAAAAGAAAACTTGAAAGAAGTAGAGAAATGTGATTATTATTTCCTTTCCAAATTACAAAAGTAAGATACGGTGGAGAACAGGCAGGCTGTTGCAGAGCTACAGGCATTTCTCGATTTCCCCAAATCTGTATTGGTTTTCTTCATCAAAAGAGGGTGTGAAAAGGATGAACGAATATATCAATTTCTGGGGAAAATGCAGGGAAGCAGATATAATTAAAAAGAGTAATAATAATAATAATAATTATAATAATTACAATAATAACTGACTGTATTGACAGATATGATCTTATCACACTGAATACCTAATGAGCAACTTCAAGGCACTCAAGCTAAGATTAAACTCTGAGCCCCAGTGGAAGCCTCCTTCCTCAAGGACTGCACTGATGGGTTATAAAAACCTCTCCAAAGCCCTCCTGACATTTCAGCATGTATTGAGAGACAGGTTAAAGGAAGGTTTCCATGAAAAGAAGATTAATCAGAACAGGTGACTGACGTGCTCAGCTGCAGCACTCACAGTACCAAAGGCTCTCTGGGTGCTCCCACAGGCTGTCTCTCCAAGAGAGACCCTGCCCAGAACTGCGGGGATGTTCTCACGCTGCACCCTGCCAGGAGGGACAGCCAGGGGCTCTGCTCCCAGGGAACAGGGACAGGAGGAGAGGCTCAGGGTGGACACTGGGGAAATTCCTGCATAGGAAGGGGGGTCAGGCCTTGGAACTGCCCAGGGCAGGGCTGGAGTGCCCATCTCTGGGGGACGTCAAAGCCCTGCGGATGTGGCCCTTGGGGACATGGGGCAGTGGGAGCAGTGCTGGGGGAGGGCTTGAACTTACTGATCTCAGAGGGCTTTTCCAACCTAAATGATTCTGTGATACTATGATTTGGAAATGCTGAATTAAACATGAGGACAGACAGCAGGAACCATTCCCTGAGAAATGCAAAAGGTGAGGAGACAGTTCTTGTTGCCATATCACCATCTACAGACTACGTGATCTGAAAACTCCATGGATGGAGCACAGACACCCAAAGGCAGCCAGTCAGTGATGGGATTACATTTTTCAGGCCTAGATATGCACAGAAATATGCTTCACTATCATATAGCATGTAACATTAAAAAATGTTTGACTTGCATGGCCCTGGCACAGGGTGCCCAGAACAGCTGTGGCTGCTCCTGGATTCCTGGAGTGTCCCAGGCCAGGCTGGACACTGGGGCTGGAGCACCTGGGGCAGTGGGAGGTGTCCCTGCCCACAGGACTGGATGGGCTTTAAGGTCCCTTCCAACCCAAACCATTCCATAATCTGATGATTTCAGATGCAATTTATGTGCAATATAAGCTGCTGCCAAGGCTTATCTGTGTTTACCTCCTCAGTACACCTTTATTTGGGGAAACAAGATGGAAATCCAAAGGGCAGAAGAAAATGCCAGCAGTGCCAAAAATACCATTCATCTCAAGCACCTCTGATAAATTACCCATTTCAGAGGAGTTTCTCAGGAGGAGTTTCTCAGGAGGTCAGGCATATAGATGAACTTGCATTGTGTCACCCTCAGCCACAATGACAGTCAGTGAGGTCTCCACCTTTACATAACAACACGCTCCAGTCTCGTGTATCCATCAGACAGCTCCAGAAACACACACAGCAAATGGAAGAGACACATCAAAACATGCTTAACTGATGTAAGGATGGCCCTTTTTTAGGAAAAAAGTGACCTCAGCAATGAAAACTGTTGGACCCCTTATTTTGGGTCGATTTCACAGAATCACAGAACCTATGTTGGAAAAGACCTCTAAGATCATTGAGTCCAACCATTAACTCAGCACTGCCAAGGCCACCACTAAACCATGTCCTCAGATGCCACATTTTTGGTGGCACTGTAAATATGTCTCCCTTCATACTATTTACTCCCTTGCAGAAGAAAGCTAGAGTGGAGAACTAAGAGGATCACCTTTACTACTAAATCCCCTTTCCAAAATGCAACACTGCATAAGTCTGCATGTTCCAGAGTCCTTCACTGGCTTCTCTTTCCTGCCCATTTCTGGCACCACAGCCAAGACTTTCTTGAGAAAATACAGAGAGGAATTAACAATTAAAGACTAATAAAAACTTCTCCTAAAACGCTCACCACGGTACCGTTGTATTTCAAAGGAAGGGCACCATACATCTTTGTATTGTCACAAGGAGGCAGCAAATACCCACAAAAGCTATAAAATCACTAAGGAAATATATTTTCCCCCTTGAACTAACATCCCTTGGAAGCACTCGGGGAGAAATAAAAGGCAAAGCTTGCTGCAGTCCATCACCTGCTGGAAGAGCCCCAGGGGTAGAGCAAAGTCAAGATCTATTGTTGGGTGTACTCAGCCTAAACGATCCTGAAATAAGTTAAAAGACCTGAAGTGAGCATCAGTAGCTTTAAAGAAAGGTTTCTTCCAACTTTCTCTGGGAAAGCAACTTTGTAGCTATGGAAGCAGCAGAAAGAAGCAGCTGCCTGCAGAGAGAGAGGTGCTGGGAAATGGTTTGGAGCGGGAGCTGAGGCTAGCAGATCCTGGGTAGAGCTGTGCTCTGCCCTGCTCTCTCAACAGCTTCAGACACATCTCTGCCATGAATATCCACCTGCTTACAAATTACTTCCAAAACAAACATTTTCTGCAGCATTTGCTTTGCCCTCTCCTCTTTTTTTTCTCCAAAAGTAACAGGGAATGGCTCCCACTTGGAAAGGGGAGCTTGAGCTGGGATCTTGGCAAGGAATTCCTGGCTGGGAGGATGGGGAGGGCTGGGCTGGAATTCCCAGATTTGCTGTGGCTGCCCCTGGATCCCTGGAGTGCCCAAGGCCAGGTTGGACACTGGGGCTTGGGGCAGCCTGGCACAGTGGGAGGTGTCCCTGCCCATTGCAGGGGGTGCAACAAAGTGATATTTAAGTTTCCTTCCCACCCAAACCATACTGTATTTCTGTCAACTGTTGGATTTCCATTTTCCTATAGCCTGTGACACGTCCAATTTGAGATCAGTTAAATTTTTCGAACAGTACAAAAGGAAACCAGAAAACTCAGGTGTGGAAACAGGTTGGAAGGAAAAAGAACCATCAAGAACCACCTAACACCCTGGAGAGTTTTTCATCCCAGGTTAATTTGAACATTACTCCATTTCAGCCAGGTTTTACCAAGCAGAGCTTCCATTGGCTCACACAGTTATAAAAATTTGTGCTTACACAGCATAAATATTGCAATGCAAGGAGGAGATACATTTAAATTTTATGGACAATAGTCTATTTGGCAAATAGCTTTATTAATTCATTCTTAATTATTCATTAGATTATTTAACTACAATAAATGAGCAATGTGGTTATAAATAATCTCTCCTCAGTTGGCCTCAACACACATGAAACCTCAGCTGATCAGCCTTCAGGATACCACAGGGTATTCCCACAGTGACACAAAATCCTGAACTTAAACACACTGTCTGGTTTTATTCTGGACTTTAATCTCCTTTTCACCACAGAGAGAATAGTCTCTCCATTCCTGGTATCCTTAAAGCTTTTCAAACAAGTACACTTTCATTTTTAGACGTCTGGAAAACTCCATCAGCACTTTACTGTGAAGCATTCTCAGGAAGGGAGAAGAAAATCCATATGGTGTATTAGGGCCCAATTATTAAACCCTTGGGAAATGTTTATTCACATCAGAATTGCTTGTAAAAAATGGCAGCTTTAAACACCAAAATGTACAGCAGCCTCCCTGCTAATGTGCTTTAACATATACAAGTCACTTAATTTCAGAAAGCACTGCCACGATCACTAGAAACACAGCCCAAGTTATTTTGATGAATTAGAAGCTATTTAAGTGCTATTTACGAGTAAATTTTAATATGCTGGAGAGCTACAGGATACATTTTAAAATACTGGATGCATTAATCCTTGAAATAAATGGAACAAGTATACAACTATGTGGTTGGTTGGGCTCTGCTGAACAGCTGCCTACAGCCCACCAAGCCAGATTCCTGACCTCATCCTTCTGCTGAAGATGGCACAAGGCCCACCAAGCCACAGCTCACCTTAGTTATGGCAGAGGAGGGCACTGGAGGCAGGGAAGGGGCTGCAGTACAGGGGCATGGGTTAAACCCAGCTGGAAATGAAGCACTGCAAAGCCACTCAAGCCCTTGCTCTTCTCCCCCACCCTGGTGGCGTGGGGAGGAGAATCAGACATAAAATTTGTAGGTGGAGAGAAGAACAGTTTAGTAATGGAAAACAAAAGAAATACAATAAATAGCTAATAATAATAATGATATTAAAAAGAGGAACCAAAGAAACCAACCAAACAGCTGATGCACAATAAAACTGCTCAGCACCTCCTGACCAGTGCCAGCCCCCTTCCCAGGTCAGACTCTTGCAGGTAACTCCCTCAGTCTGTACACTGGGCATGATGCTCTGGGCTCTGGAATATCCATTTGGCCAGCTGGGGTCACCTGTCCCAGCTATGATCCTGCCCAGTCTGAGTAACTCCTCACTGGCAGAGCAAGATAAATAAAAAAA